AATATCCTTGAACTAGTGAAGTATGTATACTTCTGACACGTATATGGATTTATGATCTTCGATCTAATTTGTGAGATCTTTTGATATATATATATATATATACATATATATATATATAGATGTATATATAGATTTATATGCTACAATTACGTGTGTAGCCCAGGCTGCGGAGCTGAAGCGCAAGGAGAAGGAGTTGGCCGAGCGTCTTGAGAGGCCTCCGACGAGTTCTCGGTAGAGCTCGCTAATTTTAAGAGAGATCTGACTTATATATATATATATANNGTACAGCAGAATTACACAGACACACAGAGGAACTTGAAAGGCACAGACTGACACACACACACACGCGCGCATATCTATATATATATATATATACATGTATTCTCTTTATTTATATACATATACATATATATATATATACAGTTATATATATATATATAGTTATATAGTTATATAGTTATATATATATATACACTTATCTAATTATATATATATAGTTATATATATATATATATATATATATTTATATTTATATAGAGCCTGAACAGAGCGGCGGTACAGGGGGCCTTGGGCAATTAGACTTCCTCAGGCTGCAAGCTTCGGCGGAGAGTGCAGGCCCTCAGGGTCTCGTGAAGGAGAGCGCCAGCGCGGCCACGACACGTGAAGCACGGGTACACGGGCCGTAATACGGGCACACGGGCCGGACGTCGCTGCAACTCTCCAGGAACTCCAAAGCCTGGGAGCGAAGATCCGCGAGGCATCGCTGCGCACATGCACACTACAAGAGCTTATGTCTTGCCCTAGAGGTGCTCATAATTAAAGGCTCCGCCTGCTTCCGCTCCTTGCCTGGCGAAGGCTGTGACGGCCGAGCGCTTCGTCGAGGCTCAGGAGCTGAAGGCAAGGGAGAAGCAGGCCGGCCCGGGCAGAGATTGCTGCAGTCATGGAGGGACCTTTTCGTCAGCTTAGCCGTGCTCAAGCTTTCGTGGGCTCCTTCACCAGCCTGTTAGCAGGTGGCCGAGCTTTTGCAGCAGAGCGGCGTCCCAAGCGAGGTGCGTTCTACAACACGGCAACCTACTGTACTAGGCCACAGCCACATACTTGGCATATAGTTGCTTGGGCAGTATCGGTGATGCTTTTGATAGAGCATAGCCCCATATCCGCGCATTGCTGACTCGGGACGATCGAAGGATTCCAATTTGTAGCTCACCTGCTGAAGCCATTGAGCTCTGCCGCAGGCCACCCTCGTTCGGCAGGTGACAGCCGAGGACGTGGCGCAGGCAATTCGACGCAGTAAGGGTCGTTGCATGGTGCGAGCCGGTTGCCACGTTTTTGGCCAGGTGGTATCCAGCTGGACCGGCATTGCAGTGGAACAGGTGTTCACCTGGTGCTGGAAGAGCTGCGTAGCGATATCCGGGTCACAGCCGATGCTGGCACAGGTGAGTGCCAGCGAGTCGTCCCGACTCCTCCATTTGGAGAAGGCAATACCAGACGATGGGTCAACTCTTCATTTTCTGTGCATCATGCACATGCAAGACTCTCCGTGCATGGAAGCAGAAGGTAAGCACCCAGTGAAAGTTCATCTCGTGACAATCGACAGCTGGAGGAGCTCCACGAGACCATCATCGGACAGGACGAGGCTGGTCGGAGACATGCACTCAGGCGTTAAGATGCAGTGGGAGACAGTCGAACCTGTCTGTCAGTGCCGAGAACCACCGAGAAGGAAGGGACAGACCCCATGTCAAGAGGAAAAATCACAGCGCTGAAAGTTTACCGCTTGGTAACCTTCAGCGACATTCAACACCACACTTCGCTACACTTTCCAGTCACGGCCCGCTGAAGCAGGATATGTTGATGGCCTGCATGTTCTTTCCGGATCTGTGATGTGACATCTATTCGTGACCTGTCCTGGTCCTCTTTCATTTTTTGCCGCCACCGCCCTCCCGGCCAACACAGGATCCTTCGCTGGTTTGCCACATAAGCCTCTCAAAGTAAGTCTGCACCTGCGTGCGTGTCACGGCGTGTGTGTTCTGCCCTGCAACTTTTTCAAGTACTTCCCCACAAAACTCCGCGCCGCGCCGGAGCGGAGGCCGTCCAAAGCGTCTCCCGGGCCCTCCGCCGGGCGCGCGCGGGCCTGCGGAACCCGCAGAGGCCCATGGCCGGGCTCGCAGCTGAGACGATCTCAGAACTTCGACTGCTACCATAGATCTTAAGCCACATTCACATAGTTACGTGTCTGCGTGAAATGAAGCATGCATGCTGAGAGTGAGGCCCATGAGTTCTCAGCCTTGGGACTTGGGAGTGCTAAGGTTTTGCTTCTGTGGGCCCACCGGGGTGGGCAAGACCGCGCTCTGCAAGACCCTGGCCTCCACCTTCTTTGGCTCGGAGGCGCGATTTTGTCGCAGTGCAGCCAGTGCACGCTGGGAAGCTTGACATAGAAGGAGCAAATGTGCACAGCTTGCAGCTGTTCAGGAGACCATGATCCGCCTGGACATGAGCGAGCATCACGGCTGCTGAATCACTTGAACGTGCTAAATGGACGTGAACGGTATTAGTGCGAAGTAGGATCATGGGACCTTCCCTCTAAACTCCAAAGGGCTTGTCTTTTGACGTCAATGACTGGGACGATTCGGCAACATCAGAGGGTGATTCCGTGGCCGATCGGCCGCGCGGGCTTAGGTTCATGGAGAAGCATACCGCCGGGGAGCCCAGGCCTCAGCTCTGCTCCAGTTCCGCGCCTGCTCTGCTTTTGAGGTGTCCAAGCTGATCGGAGCACCTCCCGGCTACGCACCCCTGGCCGCGTTCTGCTGCTCTTTGGGAAGGTCTGAGCAAGGCGCTCTGTTTGGGCATGGCTCAAGGCTACGGCAAGGCTAGCAGGAAGCTCTTGAAACGAGCTTCCGACCAGCAGAGTTTCGTAGGCAGGCAGCAGCCGAATCATTCAAGCAGGATTGGAGTTGATTTCAGAATCACAGCGCCATGGAAGTGGCGGATGGGAAGATCGGCGGTGGCGCTGCTTTTTACCTGCACCACCTGGATTGCAGATGTGGGCGATGCCTCGGCCGGGATGGGGAAGGGCCCTTCCGTTTTGGGTGTTTGGCCACGGTTGTCAAGACGCTGATGGTTCTCCAGCAGTCCATGGGCAGCAGCGGCCACAGAAACAATAGAGTGCACCGAGCTTCATAGAGGCACACAGGTAGACCAAGTAAATACAGCTACATTGATGATATTGCCAGAAGTCTTGCGGTTCATGGGGCTTTTGCGCGAAGCCGCGGATCCTTTACTCGGAAGTGCTCCACAAAACAGCAGGCCTCAACGGAGGAAGCCGAGTTCGGGGACTTTACCGCCACACTCTGGTCCCGCGGTCTCGCCCGTAGCTGCTGCGACCTCTTCCCATCGACCTTCCGAAGCAACGACAGAGGCAGGAATCTCTGCTTCCGGCCTTTTCAGGAGTTTAGCAAGATGTTTCATGCTTGCTTACGGGTGATAGCTCGTTTCTGATTTCTCGCAGGTCTCGAAGTTGCGGTCTTCAACTGGTCGTCACTGGATCTTGCGCACCATGCATCGCTGATCGTGTACGTGCCGTCCATGGATTTGATCCAATTCCTCCCACGTGTCTCGTTGGAGGACAATGGTGTTGTGACTCCCTCTGTTTCGTGCCGACCCGTCTCGAGCTTTCTGAGTCCTTTCGCGAGGCTTCGCGGCAGCCTCGCCAGAAGCGCGCATCACCTTGGTCACGGGACAGGAGGCACCAAGGCTGAGCACTTGGGGGCATCTTCGGGCAGCTTTCCTGAGTCACTGACCGACGGCAGGATGTGGGAGTACCCTGCGAGCTCTTCGGAGTTCCCAGGCGCCGTCCAGAGCCGCCGGACTGACAAAGGGACTTGAAGAGTGCTTGTCAATGCAGCTCGCGACGTCTCTTATAGAGGTTCTTTGCGGTGCACCCCGACGCGCCCTCGCAGCAGGAGCGGGCACTTGAAGCCGCAGCAGCGAAAAGGAGAGAGGAAGTTGAGAGCACCGCCCCGTGCACCTCTCCGGCCTCGCTCACATCTCCTCACTTCCTCGCTGTGTCGTCTGCGCTTCCGCGAGGCCCGGAGCTGGGCGTTGTCCTCGAGGAACTTGTCGAGGTTCCTCGGAGACCCGCGGCTCCTCCGTTGGTTTGCGCAGAGCCTCGGCTTCTGCACAGCGCAGAGCAGAGCCTTCGGCTGGCCAAAGGGTCCCTAGGAGTCCCTAGTTCTGAGGAACTACGATGCCTCCGACTGCCTGGCAGGCCCGGCCCGGGGGCGCCCGCTCCGCTTTCCCTGGGCCTCTTCTTGCCGTGTCCCCTTAAGAGCGTGCTTCAGCGTGGAAGGAGAGACGCTGCTGAAGCTGGCGCCCCTGCCCTTGGGTCTGGATTTCCACACTGCCTCGGAAAAGGCCAGTGGGGCAGCTTGCAGCTCCTTCACGGGACACCGGACCCCAGTCTCATGCCGGAGGCTCTGCAGATGAGCGTGCGCCAGCAGCAGCGGCAGCTTGATCTGGCACGAGAGGCCCTGCCGTTACTCCTGTCACCACTCGGCCCTGGCACCGTCCCTTCGTATATGGCTCCTACCGCCCTGCAGGAAGCATTGCCTTTTGCTGAGAGGTCATCGCATGTGCTGCTGCCAGTGGAAGCTTGGCCTGCAAGATGTCAGGGCCCGTGCGCACAGCTTTGTCGCTGCCGCAAGCGGCGGTGTGTACCCCTCGGCCCCGCCCAAGCCGCCAAGAGTCGCGCCTTCGGAGGACTGCGTGGCAGCAGAGTTCTGGTGGCAGCCGCCTCTCCAGAGCCTCGGCAGACTCACAGAGCAGCCCAAACGCATCGCGACGTCTCACGGAAAGGGCGAAGGGCCCAGGCCCCCGCGTTCGTCACCGCTGCCGCTGCCAGGAGCGGGCCCGGGAGCTGCGTCGACCGGCGCTGCGCCTGCGAGGCGCTGAAGGGCAACTGGACCCGGGTGCCTGGCCAGAGAGACAAATAGTAATAATAATAATACTAATAATAATAGCAATAGTAATAAAATAGTATAATAATCGTAATAATCGTAACAATAGTAGTAATAGTAATAAGATGGTGGGCTTGCGGCGAATGCGGCGACGGGTCACCCTCACTCGACTTTCCTCCATGCTTTCCATGCGCGCCGGCAATGTTGAGGTGCCTTGGCCCAGCTACCTCCACGCACTGGGCCGGCATGCCTTCGTCGCGGCTCCGCTGGGCCACGGCTTGGACTCGCACCGGGTGTGGGAGGCGGTTTTGCATTCCTCGTGCGGGGTGATTTAGCTGATGTCGAGATCATTTTCGAGATGAAGCTTATATGTGGAAGTTGGAAAGCCGGTGGTTACGAGAACAGCAGTGACAGGCTGACATGTAGCGGCTATAGTACTGTAGCTGCTAGCTCGAAGCAACATCAAGCAACATTTGAACATCAAGCAACATTTGGACTCGACCGCCACTCGACTAGAATGAAGAAGCCAACACCGTTGTGCTACAGCATCCTACAATCATGCATGGGATCCTCTCTCTAGAAGCCCCTTCCGTGAAGAAAGTATCATGTCAATAGGTAGCCTCGGCTGCAAGCTGTCTCTTGTCTCTGCTGCTGTGTGGAATGTTCAGAAACTCCAGCCAACATCTTTAGCGCTGTTCTAAGCAATCAATCGTGCTAGGATGGGGAACGGAGCAGAGTCAGACAGAACGATGTGCTTCGTCGCATGGCCCAGTCCAGAGCATCCCCTTCGTTTGCCGACACGTTATGTCCCCGTCGTGCGAGCTTTGACGCCTTATCATCCTTTCCAAACTGTAGTGATATGAAGCATCGGAACTACACCGCCATCTGTCCACATCCATATCTACAGTGCCTCCTACACTCCCAGGGCCTAGTATCGACTTCCACAGTCTTTCTGGTGCGGTGTGCGCCATCGAAGGTGCTGGTGATGGGAAGTGTGCCAGTGGTCATCGCATCAAGCTTGGATGGATTGTATGCAGAGCCACTTGGACTGCCTTCTCGTCGTGAAGGGCACGCCAAGCAATGCACGCAGTTCTGTAAGAGTTCATGTGCAGAGCATGTTTGCGGCAATTAGCTGCAGTGTTTGGACTTTGCCCACGCCTCACGCTGTTAAAGTGAAGATCGGTGGCGACGGCTCCGCTGGTTACAGTCTCCTTGAAGGCCGAACAAAACGATGGCGCAGCGAAACAATGCCCAACAATCAGCACACAAGTCAAGGGTTGCGGCCGCCTTGCAGCGGCTTTGCTAGAGCTTCGCCCTGTGCTTGTCCTATACATGAAAACTCAGCCAGCCGCTCAAAACTGTCAGGTTTCCGGTCGTGATCGTGCACTCCTGGTGGGATGTGACTTCGAATGCAATGCTGCCTTGACCTGTTTAAGATCTGTTCGAGCTTGACTGTTGTTGCCAGCAAGGTGCCTTTGAATGCACTTTCCTGGAAGAAGCAGATCTTGCAGAAATGGGGCTCTCAGCCGTTTTCTCCGAGGCGCCTAAACCCTTGCCATAATTAACAATAATAATATAATAATACTAATAATAACTCCCTTTATTAACAATATGTGCTTATGTGTTTTTATTGGCAGGGTGCTACAGCGGCTCACTAGCGGCTATTGGGCCGGCTTGATCCGCGGCTGGCACGAGGCCATGCAGGCTACTGGGCCATTGCTCCTCGGAAGAAACGAAGGCAACGCGAATTACTGAAGATCTGCAAGATCGGCTGCTGTACGCGCTGCTGAGCAGCGATTGTGCATATTGTCTCTACGGTCTCTCTTGTCTAAGGATTTCAAAGGTGGAGCAATGAGTTCGCCGTGGAAGCTGGGTCAGATCTCTTGCGATATCTTTCCGCAGCGTACTGCCGTGCGCAATGCCGCCAGAGCGGAGCACAGAGAGTCAAAATGCCCGTTGAGTGGGACAGGCAGCCTGCGCTTTGGCACCGCAAGCTTCGAGTTCGACAGAAGCCCAGTAGCCAAGCCAGGTTGGCTACAGCGACGGGGGGGCCCTCACCGAGGCTGCAGGGGCGCTGGGAATTCAATTCATCCCAGCTCAGTGAACAACCGAGCTGTTTTGTCAGTTTGTTTGCCAGTTTACCATTGCAGTTTCGAGAAGATGTTTTGTTGAAGATGCCGAAACCGCATTGCAGCCCTCGTTGCTGACTGTCATCCCGGAAAAGCCGATGTAGCAAAAACTTACATTTGACCAAAGAGTTGACGTTGTCAGTTTTTCAAAAAAAAAGCAGCAGTGTCACACAGTGTCACCTTGTCAGCAACAAATCAACAATGTCAGTCTTCCCAGACCACCCATGAGAATTTCCAAGAGGCCTGTCGTGTCTTACGTTTAATTCTTTTACAACAAGAAACAGGCACGCGTGTGTTTGTTTGAATGAAGCAAGGCGAAAGTGCAACAATTAAGCTGGAAGTCAACAAAGGCCAACGTAGGCCCCGGCAGGCCACAAAAGCGGGTGAAAACAAAGCCACGCAAGGATTCGCTTGCAAAACAAGCAACATGGGCCCGGCACGACTTGCTACGGAGTGGGCTGTGGACATCCCAGAAACAAGCGCAAAAGGGGAGATCTGATTAAACTCATCTGCAACAAAGACAGACTTTGCGATTCAGGCGGTGAGGCGGCGGCCATACTCCCTGGTGCTCTTCGACGAGGCGGCCCTCTGCGACTCTGAGGTGGTTTGTTTTTTTTGACTTGTTCTTCGCAGGTGGAGAAGGCCCACCCGGATGTCTTCAACATCCTTCTGCAGCTCCTTGATGACGGCAGGCAACAGCCTCAGAGGACATCGGCTCTATGGGTTTTGAGCAGGGACTTCGCAAGATGGCCCAAGGCTGACGGACTCCAGAGGCCGTGTCGTCTCCTTTGCCAACACCCTCGCCGGGTTCTCCGGAGCTCTTGGATGTGGTAGATTCGGTGTAGGATGTCGGAGGGTTCTTTCAGCTGTGTCTTTTTCCACAGCTCGTGTGAGGTTGTGATGACCTCCAACCTCGGAAGCCGCTCTGCCGAGGGCTCGGGTCGGAGGATTGTGAAGAGGAGAGCGCGGTGCTCGTCGTAGCTACTTTTTAGCGTGAGCCGCAGTGTCACCCAGGTGCAGAAGTCCGCAGCAGGTGGCCTGGGTCTGGGCTTCGGCGTGGGGGAGGCGAGGCGCTCTTGGAGAGTCTGAGAAGAAGCGGGGAACAGCTTTATACAGTTGTAGTTCAGTTCGCCAGGATGTGGAGGAGGACACGTACAGCAAGGTCAAGGAGCTCGTCCACGAGGACCAATCCTGCTGGCTGCTAGCATATCAGGCATAGCAACGTTGTATCGAGGAGATGAAGAGCTTCTTCAGACCGGAGTTCTTGAACAGGACAAACATGATAGCCATGGGCTTGCGTAAGCACAGAGTGAGCTGGGTCCAGCTGCGCAGGCTCGATGAGGTCATCGTCTTCCGACCTCTGAAAGAAGATGATGTCAGGGCCATCGCAGAGGTGCCATATGGGAGCCGCGAGATCTTCAGAGTTTGCTGTTGCCGAGTGGAGGTGGAGTTCAAGAAGGTGATGGCCAGGCCAGGCTGCTTTCCGTCTTTTGCCCATATGCCTTTCTAGTAGGGATTCTTTTTGCTGCTCCGCAGCTCGTACCTGCCAGGCTTGCCGACAAGGAGCGCCCCGTGCAATCCGTGACGCAATGCGTCGACAGATGAATCCCCCTGTCCCTGTGGTGCAGTCACGGTGCATACCGCGGTCGGAGTGTCTGATTGCAGCCGTTGCTGTACTTTGCTTTGGACTCGCCGCCCACGACAGGACCTGGAAGTCACACTCTCCCCGAGCTTCAAGGAGCGCACGCGGGGGGAAGAAGGGGTGACCCGTCACAACGCAGCAGCCTTCAGTGACGAACCGCCCCTCGGACCTCGGATCTCCCCCATGAAATAACAGGAGCAAGTGCTGAAGGAAGGCTACGACCCGGCCTACGGGGCGAGGCGTGTCCGACTCTGTCGGCGAATCTCTGAGTCCTTTTTGACTCTCCGCCTCTCCCTCTCTCTCTCTCTCTCTGTTTGATGTGTCTTTTTGCAGGCCGCTGCGCCGGGCCATCACCCGCATGCTCGAGGCTTCCTTATAAGAGCCGCCACAGGGCTGAAGTTGTTTTCATTCATCTGCGCGGGTGCGCGTGTGTCCGGCGGGGGGGGGAGAGGACACGCTGGCCGAGCATCTCCTGCAAAATGCAGCCGAGTCTCGGAAGGCCTTCGGAGCCTTCTGCAGTGCCTTTGGGCTCGTCCTGAGACCTCTTTCTACGAATCCTTAATTGAAATTTGCAAGTGCTATCGGAGGACAAGCGTGCTGTGCGGCTGAGCGCGCCGGGTTCTTATATGTTCTTCTAGAGAGGTTCTGAGGTCCGAGCTTGTTGAAATAGCAGATCATGGCAACAAGTTGCAGTGAGCAGCGGCAGGCTTTTCCTTTGGAAGCAGAATTCTAAGAGTCAAAGAGCCCAAAGGGTCCCGTGCATTGCAAGAGATGCCCAGGTCGGAGACGGGTGAGGTGCAGGTCGAAGTTCTGAGCCGGCTCTCCGACAGCTCCGACAAGTCCGATGCCCAACAGACCTACCTGGACCCCAAATAACCCACATTTTTAGGGTTCCTTATTATGATTTCTTTATATAAGTCCCTAAAAGGCAGGTTATCATTAGGGGTTAAGGTAGGGGCTAAGAGAGGAGCCTGAGCAGCCTCGGGTGCTTTTGGGCGGGGGAATGGTGGGGTTGCCTGGAAGTAAGAAGGCACAAAGTTTCCAAGCTGGTGGCCGCAAGCTTCCTCGTGCACTGAACATCTCAGGTCTGAGAACAAAGCGGAGTGCTCAGCTTGTGTGCAGTACTCGCGCGGGATATTTCCAAGACAACGCTAGCAACGACCCCTCGCTTGTTTTTGTTTGAGCGGGCCGTACCTCCTGCGCGGCCCGATCTCGAGAGCGACCGTAGCGCATTGGTTACAGGGGGAGCCCGCAAGGGCGAGCAGAGGACTTTCCCATTTAATGCTCCTGGGCTCGCAGTGCCCCAGCCGTGTCTCGGTGCGCAGTCCACAGCAGAAATCTGAGATGCCGCGGCTGCCGCGGCCAGCTGTTGCACACATGGCGAGGGCTCTTGCGGTGTTGAGATCTGTGTCCCTCGGTCCCTCCCGGCCGCATCCGCCGCGGCGCGCCCGCTGCACGCCTCGGTCCGAGACCGGGCGCCTTCCCTCTTGTGAGCGCTGAGGTCCTGGAAGAAGCGACGGCGAGCAGCTGAAGGCGTTCTGTTCTATTTCATACATTGTGCAGTTGCCGCGGCCTTGGGTCGCTGCAATCTACCGATGCAACCGCCCCGGTTCCGGCCTTATAATCCCCGCATGAGAAAGGAAGCTACGTGCCTTCCCTGGTCTGCTACTGAGCCCAGATGAGGCCGTGCTGAGTTTCATTCGTTCCATTTCAGCGCCTCCCAAGCCGTCCAAGCCCTGGAAGCTAGGACAGGCTCCCAGTCACCGTGTGCTCTGACTCTACTTATGGGAAGTTGTCAAAATTATGGTCCCTTTTGGGGTACCCTAAATAATAGGCGCCGTATTATAATAAGGACCCAAAAAGGGACCATAATTTTGACAACCACCCTTATGGTATACTTTTTGAAAGAGCTTGGAGGCTTGAGTTGGCAGCTATAGAACTCTTTAAGAGGGGACACCAACAGAGCTGTTTCCCGAATCTTTCTGCAAGCTTGCAGAGTTGGCGGGCTTCTTCCGCAAGTCCCCTGGGTGTGAATCTTCCATTTCGAGGGCCCAGGGGACGCAGGAGCTCCTGTCTTAAGTTCCTTTCAAACTGGCCGCATTTTTCAAATTGGCCAGACAGGTAGTTCATAGATTCTGTTTCAAAGTGAGTTTGGGCACTTCTGCCAGGCGAATCCACTGACGCTGCATGCAAGACGGAAAGGTTTTGGCCATCCCTACAGTAGCAGGATGCGTCTGTGTGCGGCAGTCGGGTCATGCTGGCGTTTGAAGAATGCCGCAAGCATGTGGGGTGAAGCCCCTCTTGGGCCAGCGGCAGTCGTGGTAGAATTTAGGAAAATGGCACCATTAGGTGATTCGTTTCAAATCACACATGGCGCGCCATCATGTCCACGGAAATATAACAGAAGCACTGCACAGAGGTTATAACAGGTTGCGAAGGCCACCGAAGGCACGAGACCTGCGGGCAATGGCCGCGACACCGGCACCAAATTCTCCGAGCCTTGGCTGACCGTCCCCAAAAGATTGCTTAGTTTTTTGAAATTGTTTTCAGCTTCAAGCGGTCCATGTTCTCATGCTGAAGTTCTCCAGGCCAGAGGAAGTGAATGGCGGCGGCCATGAGGCATGGATCTGAGCACTCAACTCCTGAGTCGACTGCCTGATGAGGATGAGGATGGCGACGGCGACGACGACGGATGACAACGATGACGATGGTGACAGTGATGATCGTTGTCATGAGTACTGTTCGCACACACATGTTTCAAAAATCCACATGCACGTGCATGCATCCTCCTTCTCTCTCCTGTACGTGGTCCGCAAGTGAAGACAGACACCTTTCACTTGAGGACCTCTCATACTTTTGTGCCAGGCGGTGCCTGAAGCCAGCGGCGCCAGGCGGGAGACTCGAAGCATCTGTAAAAAGGAAAAGAGTTTAGGGCTAGCGAGTTCAGGTTCACCATCTTCTATGTATATATATATATATATTCTGTATTTATTTGTGTGTTTATTTATTTATCTGCTTATTTATTTGCTTAGTTATTTATGTGTGTATTTATTTATCCAGAATATCTCTCTCTCTCTCTATATATATATATATATACTGATCCTCGGGGCCATCGCTGGTGTGATCGACCAGCTCTTTGTGCACCCAAATCATGGTTCATTTTCGCGCATTGCTTCTCGCTCCCAGAAGCCTTTTCGCGTGATTCGTGCGCCGGATTCGGTTCGGTTCATACCGAGATGTGCCCCAACTTCTGAGGACCTCTGGCTCCCCGAGCCGGAGCGCCTCCACGCCGAAGGAGAAGCTTCAAGGCTCCAGAGCATAGGCCTCAGGCATCTCTCGGCCCGGGCTTAGTGGCTTAGTGGGCTTGGGGGCGGTAAGAAGATCTTGGGGGGGAACTGTCCAGGTGATGGAGAAGAGTCGTTCCGTGCGATCCCGAGACAGAGCGGAGACTTCTGCGCTTTGCAGGATCCGAAAGGCAGGCAACCTTGCGTCGAGGTGCCCACCATTCCCTCTCGATACACCGTGACGCTGATCAAAGGCAACCGAGAGGCGACTGCACGCGCCCACTGGCCAGTCTTTCTGTTGAAATGACTGCAAAGCTGAGCTTTCTTACGGAGACGCTGACTCTACAGTATTCTACAGCAAGCGCCAATTTGTCTCACTCTGTGATTCCTTTGTGTTCCGCTTCCGCGCCCTCCCCTGCGCAGTACAAAGGGTTCAACAGCCGGTCCATGCGCTTCGAGGCTGCCTGGCAGGGCTTTTGCTTTTGCGGCTTTTGCTTTTGCCCAGAACCGAAGCCGAAACCCATGGGGAGAGGTCCAGGTGCCGAGCGCAGCGCCAGGGCCTGGTAGGCTCGGGTTAAATTTTCTGCCTTCCGGGATTCCCCCCACGCTTGGCACTCCCCTCACTCGCCCCTGCCCCTGCCCAGTTACGGCCAGCAGAAAGCCTTCCACGAGGACTGCACCCAATACTGTAATAGACTGGACTGTATTTGACTGGCACTCTGGTACTAATCGATCACAGCTCGCTTGAAAGGACTTCACGGGTCGGCCGAGCTGGGGCGTCAGCCCCGCTGCCGCGCTTACGAAGTGCATTTCCATGCTCTCGAAAGGCTTTCACAGGATGCCTGAGACATTACAAGCTCGGGCCCCTCGCGCGCATGATGGCAGCTGGTGAATAATCGCTTGCTTATGGTGGAGTCGCATTTCTTATCGTCAGGGGCCGTTGCCAGGCCTTCCTAATGCGCGCCTGAAGAAGTGCCTCCTATAGAGGAGGTTAAGCAGCCCGCTGACGCCGCGTAACCAAAAAGGACAGCCTAAGAGCCAAAAACAAAAATTCGGAATGAGACTGTATAGCCTTGATCTTTTCCTGAACTTCGGACCCTGCTGAAATGCTCCCTCTGCGAGTTACTTGAACAACTTAAAAACGGCCGCGAGAAAGCCAGGGGGCACGGGCGGCTTCGCCTCGAAAGCTCGGCGCTTCAACGTGAGGCAACGCGGGCTCGCGCGGGCTTGCTTCCTCAGCGTCTTTTTCTTTTGCTCTCTGCGGCGCCTCTCCGATCCGATCAACTGCTGAGGGCAAGAGCTTGTTATGCGTCCTGCAGGATCCTGCTTCCTGGCTTGGGCTGCCCTGGCCCAGGCACAGGAGGAGAAGCCATATAGATGGTACTGTACTATAGCAGGTGGGCTACTCTGCCGCTCCGCTGCTCAAAGGCGCCTACGGTGCTCCCAGCTTGCAGAAGGCGGTCCGGGCGCCCTCTGCTGCGTCCTTCGCATCCTCCAAAACTTCTCGAGCCGGGGACTTTGTCAGAGTTGTCAGAGAAGATCAGAGAATTTATAATCAGAGTCATAGTATAACTGTCATATAGTAACGGTACATATGTTTTCTTGCTTGTGTGGAGGCCCAGAGCCTTTCTGAGCTTCCGGGCCCAGGGTCCCTTGGCTGCACTTCCCAAAAGGCCCCTAAACCCTAAACCCTAAAACCCTAAAACCCTAAACCCTATAAACCCTAAACCCTATAAACCCTAAAACCCTAAAACCCAAAACCCAAGCATGCTTTCGGCCGCCTGCTCTGCGCGCTCTCTGCGAGCCAGGCAGTACGAGCCCAGACGCCTGGCCAACCAGAGCGAGGCGCGAAAGAGTCCCCTTAAAAGCATCGGAGCTACCAGTCCATATATTCTATATATAATATAAATAAATAAACAAACAAACAAACAAACAAACAAATAAAAAAAATATATATATATAATAGAAATATAGATAAAACCATATTAGATAATAGATAATATAAAATATATAAAATATATTATATATAACATACATACATATATGTATATATATATATATATATTGGGCATGGAGTGCATGCGGTGCAGGGCGCCCGTGCGGCCTTCCGGTCCACCAGCCTCCGCTTGGAGAACCCCAGCGAGGAGGCCGCGCCAGGCCCCGGCGACTACCACGACGGCCTGGTGAGGCCCGGCTCCGGCTCGCACTGTAATTACACTCAGAGCTCCGGCGCTCAGACTGCTCTGCTCAAGGCCTGTGGGCTACATCCCCGAGCACCTGCAGAGCCTGGACATGCGGATGCCCACCTTCAAGGAGCGGGTTCCCGGAGAGTTGCGGGGGTTGTCACTTCAAAAACTGCCAGGAGCGCTCGGCTCCGCGCATCACCAGGGTGCACCGCGACCTTCCAGCGGCTTCGGCCAAAGCCAGAGGCCGTGCTCCCGCGCGCGCGCGCGCGCGCATGTGCGCTGCATGTGATGCCGGAAGTCAATGAAGCGCGGCTCAGGCGTTCTGGGCAACTTTGCCAACGAGGTGCGGGGGCTCCTGCTCCGTTTCAAAGCAGAGTGGGTTTCTTGACAGTTGCCTCGTTTTTTGGTCCTCTCTCTATCTTTTGCCCTCTGTCAGTGTCCTCGCTGGGCAGGTGAGCCGGCAGTGCCTCGGAAGCCAAGCCCTGGCAGTGGCCCTGCCGGGCCCTGGGGAGTACCAGGAGCTGTGGTGAAGTGCATTTTGCTCTCAACAGCTACCTGTTGCTGCCTGTGAATCCTGTGAATCGCTCTTCTCTTTCAAAGAGGACATTACGAAGGCCCAGTCGAGTGCAGTGCGAAGCTCGGCGTCTCTGCACGAAGCCGGGAGGGCCCCGGAAAAGCGGGGAGCTCTTTGGCTAAATCAGGCGACGGCCGGGAGTGCCTTCCAGGGCTCCAAGCGGGACCTTGGAGCACAGGCGCAGTGCCTCAGCGGCGCCTCTCTTTTTTGTAGAGGGACCGCAGGACCCTCATCTCTTTCGGAGGAGTCCTCCTTCCCGGGCCCTGGCAAGTATGAGCCGCGCAAGGTACGCGCACCCTCCGTCTGGCCTTGCACAACGGCGTTTTGGTGAGTGCAGGTCGCGTCGCCGATGGCCCGGACTCTGCGATCCGCCTTTCAGTCGACCTCCGACCGTGGGAAGATCGAGGCTCTGACCTTTGACTGCCCAGCGATCTTGCAGCTTTATCGCGGCGCACATGCCCTTGAGATGAAACAGAGTCCATAACAGTATATACATTACCACAAATGCAATTACTTTCTACAGCAGTGGAAGACAGCGGAATACATTCACATATTCAAAAGACATATTATAAGTCCCAGCAACACAGAGTATGTTCCTGCTCGCGCCTGCACACCCGAATGACACCCCGTGCCATGAAATTGATTCGGGCAGAATCCAAGATCCAAGTTGAAGATTCCGGGGCAGGTCTTGACCAGCCAAACACGGATCCTGAATCCGCCTTGCTTTTCTTGCTCGTGTTCCAGATGCGGAAACGAACGCAAGCGAGCGAGTCCCGGGTGTGGGATCCAAGATTGCCGGGCAAAACCTCCCAAGTCTCTTCACGTTTATTTCATGATGCGGCCGAAGCCACTCGAGGTCCCATGCCAATGCAAGGTCCCAATAAACTGCATGGCAAGACCTCCGATTTAGGTTTCAATCATCCTAGGCAAGCATAGAGCATGCATGGGCCGTGACAATCCTTCCCGGAACCCCGTGATGTCTGCACCCAAGACGGCTTAGTCTAGGCTTGTCATTATGGAAATCGCTAGTCACGTTCCTTCCATGCGGGCAAACGTTGGCCGTGCAGAGACAACCCTTCGGAACCCCCAAAGGACATAAGCATAAACATTGTGTAGGGATATCCCTACTTTGTTGGGCTTCATTATAAGGGCGTTTATATGGGATATCCCTATCCTAATTTTTGCTTATGTGCATTTTTGGGGCCCTAAGCCCCTCTCAAGGCTTCATGCTGCAGAAAGTAGCCTTTACAGCGCTGCTTTCCGCGTCATGTGATGTCTATATAATTTAGAGTGAACGCCCTGTGCAGGTCTCCTCGGCACCTGGCCCGGCCTACTACAACCCCTCGATGCCCAAGCTGCAGAAGTCTGGGGCCTAGGGCCTAGGGTTTTTCGAGACGACGACAGGGCAGTTTTAGTGCGCTGCTAATGCCAGATCCTTTCGGATGAAGACGGCCAATTTCGTTGCCTGAGCGCAGTTGCCCTTTGCTGCGAATCTCACCATGTCATGTCTCACCGAGTCTCACCCCAGAATCCCGAAGGTTGCAGAGACCACTCAAAAGTGACGCTGTTCCAAGACAAGATGCCTCTTGCGAAATCGGCCACGGCTTGCACCGGCTCTTGCACGAAAGCCTTTACCGTTGCCGGGCGGCTTGTGGCACAGTGCATAAACAGGGCTTATGACAAGGCAGACAGACGTAATGACACCAGTGTCTGGACAGGAAATTGCCCACGAAAGAAGGCGTTTGTAGAGTAATATTTATACCGAATGAATATATATATATATATATATAATATACAGATATACAGATAAAGTTCAAGACATGTATAAGACATAAACAGACGAGCTTCAGGCTGAGCTTGATGTTCTGAAAGCAGGGCGGCGTAGATCGAGCCGAAAGGCGCCCAAGACGGGCTCTGCTCTGCGCTGCGCCCATAGCTGCGCTGCCGCCTCTTTGAAGATTTTTGCACCGATGCTCCAAGAGCCAGGGCCCCGGAGCTCTTGGAAAGAGCAGTTTTGGGCCCATTATACTATAATGAGAATAAGGAACCCCCAAAAGAATATTGGTAATTATTTCTCGGCAGTTTTGGCCGAGATGTTGTTGAGTCGGAGTCCTCGCAGGTCATCCCAGGCCGGCCAGGCGTGGCCATTTTGGGCCTCTTTCTTTGGCAGTCTCGGAGTGGGAAGTGGCCTCTTCGTCAGGTGGTCGTGCGGAGAATCGACGACCTGGAGTTCCAGGTTGTGATTGTGCGAGTCCACAGCCGGCCCCCAAGATCTGAGCATCGAAAGCATGAGGACAGGACAGTACACTAGTAACACTATACCATCCGACGGCCACACAATTATGTGCTTGGCAAAATGGCAGTGAAAAGCCTCCTTTCACCGACTGTGTGCTGAGGTGATGCCGTGGACGTGCTATACCTGGACGACGGCAAGGTAGAGCCGGGCGTGCCTGCAGACGAAATAGATGCTTGGCTGTGGCTTCGTCCGCTGCGCTGACACAAGCGGAGGGGAGTGAAGAGTGCAACGTGCGGATTTTGCTGGAAACAGTAGTGGAGACTTTCGCGAACCGTGGTTCTCTGCAAAAGCTGGTGCTCAAGGGAAGACACAGAAACCCCCTCTCTAAGAGGAAGCTGAACGCTTGAATTTCTGTTTTCCTTCGAGCTGAATTGAAGGATATGTGGCTCTTCAGAGAGTGTCTGCCCTGCGACGCCAAATCAGTTGGTTTGCTTGATATGCTAGAATGAGAATGATCCCTGTTGACTTCCGAAATCCCCAAGCTGTGCCCGCAAGGATTGGCAATCCAGCGATGGAAGGATTGGAGAAGGGTCGGAAGTGTGCACAGAAGCGTCTGGGAAGTCCAGCACTGCCAGCACTTGCTACTTGCTGCGATGATCTGCTCCACTTTCAGGAGGCTCTCCACGGACCATCCTTTCTTCCAGGCCCTAAAGCCGCCTGTCCGGGTTTGTCAGCAGCGCCCTTCTTGCCTCCGGGTCCCGCTTTCGCAGGCGGCCCTGGAGAAAGTCGTCTCGCACTCGGTCCGGCCGGGATGAAGACTGAAGCAGCTTGGCCACACTCAAATGGGGAGCGCCGGGCCCGGTTCCAAGGAGGAGATGGAAGCCATGACGGCCGCCACGACGAGTGGCATGCGCTGGGAGCAAGGCTCTGTTGCAAAGTTGGGGAAGTTGTGGACCTGTGGACTCCCCCCGTCTCGCAGTAATGTGTAGATCACGGTGTAACTTGCTGAGTCCCTGCATGCCCACACTCTGCGTCTCTGACGGGGAAAAACCCTAAACCCTATGAAACCCTACGAAACCCTATGAAACCCTTAACCCTTGGGTTTTCACAAGGCCGATTCCAGGAAGAGGACGGCGCGGTGGTTCTGGCCAGCTGCGTCTCTGTCCTTACGCCGCAGGCGCTCGGTGTTTTTGCTTTTGGGGCCCGGCCTTGATGGGCGCCCCTCATCTGTTATTATATTATATTATTATATTATATTAGATTTCATTACTATATATTATATATGTATATAATATATTTATTTATTTATTATTATTGTTGTTAAATTATATTCAATTATACTATATTATATTATTCCCCCTCCCCCGCCCTTCCGGCGCAGGCGGTGAAGGATTGGGACTCGGACGCTGCCGCGCAAGCCTGCGGGGCGGGCTTGCCGGGCTCCAAGGGACGGAAGGCGACAGCAACAGTTCGGTAACGCCGCCTTGCAGCTGGTACAGGCGAGGAGTCAGAAGCTTGCGCAAGAAGATGGAGGCAGGCAACAGAGAGCCTTTGCTGATGCGTCCCTGAGGGATGTCTCTGGAACTTAGGCAGAAGTCCCGGCAGTCGCGATGGCTTGAGAATGGCCACTTGGCACGTCTGGAGCAGCGACTTTGCCATGCAGCAGCAGCAGCAGCAGCAGCAGCAGATTCTGAGTGCTCGGGACGTTCGGGGGGAGGTTCTTCGGGGGTCTCTGCAGCTCCTTTGTTAGCCTCAGCCCATCGCAACCAGTTTTGCTTGAGCAATGGGCTGCCAGTCGACGAAAGTCGTTCCATCCGAGCAGTTGAAGGCCGTGGCGCCAACTGCAGAGACGGAAGAGTCTCAAGCGCAGGTCTCCTCCAACGGCCCCGAGACCGAGAGAAGAGAAACAGAAGGAGCCCAGGGAGCCCAGGAGGCGGCGAAAGCGTCCGTACCAACTTGGGCCTTGGACTTGGGCCTCGACGGCCATTGCGACCAGGCCCGCAATCCTCTCTTGTGCGCTGAACACAAGTAACTCAAGCTCTCTCTCTCTCTCTCTCTCTCTCGTTCGAACTTAAGCATCTCGTGCTCAACAGACCGACAGCTGCCCCAGGTTCGCGACTACTTCCGCAAGCGCTC